CATCAATGGGCTCAAGCATGGCAACAATTGTGAGTTTGGCTCAGTATCGGGCAGAATCTGTTGTGCATAGGGTCACTATGAGTCGGTACTGACTCGATGGCACCTAACAACAACAACAATTCCTAAATTGTAGTTTAGAATCAACTCCCTTTTGATGTGCAAAGAGGAAAATCCATCATTTATGCCAAAAAGAGAAGACAGTCTGGAAATTGTTTACTACTTTTCTTAGCTTGTATTGACATTAATGACATTCATGTGGGGGTCAGGAAGGCTTACATCAAAAACAATTGTATTTGTCTCTGGTCCAAATGCCCCTCCTTTCCAGTCTCCCCAAACACAGTGCTCCCCATCTCCCCAGGACATTTTAAAGTTTTACCTTCAGGTTTGGAACCTACCATCCTTCAAGTTGCTACTGGTCTCTGGCTTCCAGATGGTCTCTGGCTTCCAGACGGACTCTGGCTTCCAGATGGGCTGGCGATGGTTCAGGAGCTGCTGTGGAGATGACTGACCAATTCTGTTTCCCTTCGCTTCTAGGAGGCCCAGCAAACTTCGCGTGGCTTCGTTCCACTTCAGGTGTTCCCTGAGCTGCTGCTCTGGGTTCCCTGCCTCATCGACATATGGGGACCCTTCTGTGCTCTTTTTCCCCATTAAGTGCCCTGTCAAGACAAAACCAAGGCAGAATGCCACAGGTTGAACCAAACGGAATGAATGTCCACAAAATCAAAACACCCCAATGGTTTGTGTGCTTTTTCCTCCTACACACTAAATAAAGAACATTTATTAGGCATTGGTTAGTTAGTTCATCAGTGACTGATTTTTCTCCTTTCAAAAATGCATATGACAGGGATTGAGACATGGTTGGAATGGGCAAAACGGAGGAAATAATGTTAAGATGCTTGGCTGCTGTCTTTTGAATCTTGGTTTCCCTAGCATACCATTATAAAATAGACACTTGAGGAGGAGAGAAAGGAATAGCCAGAAATATCACCACAGAAAGCTTGTAAGTCCGTCTTCTGCCTATAACTGATTGTTGTTGTTAAGTGCCGTAGAGTAGGTTCTGACCCATAGTGACCCAGTATAGGGTTTCCAAGGAGACGCTGGTGAGCTTGAACCCGAACCTTGCAGTTCAAATGGCTTTGCAGTCTGGTGCATTAACCCACAGTGCCACACCAGGACTCCTTGGAATACCTAAAATGGGGCTACAATGTGCCCAGTGAAGGAGGCTTCCTGTGGAGCCTCTGCATTACATAAAACCATATGTGGAATCCTGAACCACATCCAGAATCTTCTGAGGTGGGAAATCTCCACTTGAAAGGACAAGCAGACCAGCCTGGAGCAGCTAGAAGAACAGAAGATACTTCTTGAAAGAAAGACCAACAGGAAAAATACAAAACAATAACGGCAGTCTGACTGATTACTATAAGAACAAGGAAGACAGGAGACATCAAGGCAAGTGGTCGGGTCCCCTCAGGGCAAACCCCCTTCCAAGACTAAGACTCAATGGAAACACACGAGCAGACATGCACTCTGACTCCTTGGTCCCTGATAAGGGGAAGTGAGGAAAAAACAGCAATGAAGCTGCGAGCTAAACCCTACCACATTCAATAGACTCTTGTGAACCCGGTTGGAGACCTGGTTGGCCAGCTGTGTGGCAAGACCTGGGGACTCTTGGGCCCAGAGTCAGTGACATAATCACAGAGGACTAGAGTGAAGAGTGATGCATCCAGCTGATAAGAAGAGAGGGCATATGCATGAGAACACCCACACTTGCAGATAATACCCACTTGACCAGGCTTCAATGACTGGATGATCAAAGCTCAACTAGAAGAAGAAAGAAGAGGAAAAAAAGAGTAATCTGATACAATTTGATGAACCTGACCTACACCTATGGATGGAGTAGCTCAAAAGAGGGAACAAATCTTCACAGCGAGGATTAATCCCACCCTCTCCCTACAAAGAGTAGACAGGGGTGGGCAACTTGGACATTGGTTACCCAAAATGGGGGGGGAGGGGCTACAAAGGCAAGTAGTGACTCGGCTTACAAGCTTTCAAGAGGGAACCTAGATCCAGAAGGCACAGAGGAAGGTAGAATCTCCACTACGCGGGGCTGATGAAAGGAGATGGGGATAGGTCCCGTGTGGTACCATGGTGAATAATTGTTATCAGGACTGACTGCAAGGGTTGGAAATGTAAAGATGGACATTTGTAGCAAAAGGAGGGGAGTGATTGACTTTGTAGGCTAGGAGCAGAGGTCCCTGGAACCATCAAGGGAAATGAGCGGAGTGCGGGACCCTCCCCAGAGAAGCAGTGATGCCAGAGATGATGGCAGAGATGATGACATGGAGAGATGGAGCGGCTGAGGGCTCTAGACCCAGAGAGTAGAGGGGCTGTGTGCTGATGACCGGGGGACAGGCTTGCAGGGTACCCTTTTGTTGGTTGATGATGCATGTAGGGGATTATAACCATGGCAATGAAACAATATGCGACAGGATGAATGTGAAACTAATGTTTTTCCATGTAAACTATCACATAATTCACAATAAAACATTAAAAAAAAAAAAAAAAAAAACCCCACACACAGTAGCTAGACAGGCCTCAGAGCTGTATTCAGAAGCTTTGTGCTAACTAGCTAGGTGACCTTTGCTAAGTCGTTTCACCTCCACGCACTTCAATTTTCTCAACTATAAAATGAACACGTTGCACTAGATGACATCTAGAGAACCTTCCATCATCAATTCTGTGTGCACTGAATTCCCAACTGAACTGAACAATGGCGTTTAACCATCTTCCCCAGTCAATTCTGAATTGCTGCTGAAAAGTCTCAGTGCTTTGCTTTGTGTATTTTTGTTTGTTTGTTTTGTTTTGTTTTTTTTAAATCGTTCTTTTCCTCTTATCTGTAATACTAATATACCAAAGGAATTTTTCACTTAAACTTTCTCAGAATTTTAGCTGAAATTGAATCTAGGAAAGTTCACCTAGAATTGATGTTTTGTTAAGAATGTGAGGAAAAGCAAATTGAAGAAAAGTCCCAGCTAACAGTTCTCAGTCAGCTAAGTGCAGACTTCTCTCTTGGGTGTCTGTCTGTCTAAAGGGCAGAGTAGTACCTTGTTAACAGCCTTCAGGGACAAGGAGCAGCCATTTAAATAACTAATAACTGCTGTTAAGGAGGCCAAACCAGTAAGAACCATGGGAATTCACGCATGCAAGGGGCAATAAACAGAGGGTCTGAAGGAGGCCTGGGATTCAAAACCTGCATTCATAACGTTTTAGCCCATTGCCTAAGTATACTTGGGTGATTTTCCTTACTTTCTGTAATTGATTTTCTCTACCTCTCTTTTTATAGTACTTCTGAAATTTTAACATTAAGAAATCTCTGGTGCCTTTGATTTAAAGCTCACAAGAAAAGAGCTCTTTGTGGTTCCATGTTGCCTGGCATTAGAAATATCTAAGACAAACATAAATATTTGAAAGTCACTGAAAATGGAAAGACAGTCGTTTCTAAAACTCCTTTCTAGCATTGGTGGCTCTGCAGAAAAACCCTCCTGTGACTTGACCGCTTTCATGGATATTTAAAAAAATAATAATTAATTTTGTTGTTGTTGTTGAAAATATGCACAGTAAAACATACATCAATTCAATCGTTTCTGCATGTAGAATTCAGTGACATTGATTACATTCTTTAGGTTGTAAA